AAGATCCTCACCCACTAGTGTAGTGAGAAAGATGAAGGAATAACCAAAGGGGTGATAAAATGATTAGCTAAAACTCCCCCATGGTGGCCGGCCCTTGTTGTTAGAGAGAGTTTGATATTCTCTTCTCTTTTGTGTTTTGAATAATCTAAACACACACTCTCTTCTTTCATTATTATGTTCCTTTTATTACATAAAGAAACAAGTCAACAATTGACCTTCTCTCTCCCTCTCTTTGGCCGGCCCTTTGTGTTTGGTTTGGGCTTTTAATTATTTCAAGTCATCCAATGCTTGAATAAAAGCCCAATGGGCCTAATTAAACCCGAACGTTTCTTTAAGCCCAAAACGATCTTTATCGCTTTTATGATTTCTTTAGACTTTCTAAATTAATCAAAACACTTAATTAATCCAATTAATTATTTCCATCATCCATTAGTTACTCACTACAAGAGTGTATTGGTGAACAATCTTTTAGGTTCTAATTAGCAAGGCAGTGAGGTGATTGGCACCAATCCAATTGATTATATTTAATCCATCCACTTAGTGAATTAAAACTTACTTTTAATTCACCTTCTTCTTTGATGACTACATTTAATCATCTAGAAGAACTCACAAGCCATGAGTGACATCTAAACATATATCATGGCTACCCAAGCTAATGTAGAAGTTTATTCGGAGAACCTATTCAGTTGGAATTACAATGTAATTCGATCCTTCTCTAAAACAATACTCTCAATCACATCACTAGGGTATGGATTTATAATGTCAAACCCCTAATGTGATTATTCCTTCTTATACGATTCATTTGAGACGTATAGGAACGCTTTCCTTTATTACGCTCGATACTTCGGCCGAAGATTCCCGAATCATATCTTAGAGTATTCATCCTTTCTTATCGAGGATTAGAGATTCCTTGTTGCGCATTCACTTGCCTTCATGGCTAAGTGGCTTAACCCCAACGATGCCTTGGACACTTGCGTATGGAATGACTTTAACATAATCAAAGATTAAGTACTTAACCACAAGACAACGACGATGCCTCAGGTCAAAGGATTACTTACATTATTCCAACCATTAGAGTTACTTGCTTGACATGTGAGTAGACCTCCATGCAAGTACTCTCGTTCGATTGTGTTCAGTGAACTCATTCCCTTAATGAGCACCTACATGCCTGTCTTAGTGTCGCTACATGAATGGGATGAGACTTTCCATCATTCCAATTGAAGCGGACATAGTATGTACCAGTCTATGGATTGTCAGTATCCCTCCGACAATCCTTATGACCAGGAACCTTTTTGGACATGATGGTTATGAGAAGAAGGTCTCTGTAATCTAACATCATTAGGTTACTTCTTCCATCGATCCATTGTCCATGGATTCACTATTTAGGACATATTTTGTTCTTTGAGATAGTCCTAATTAGTATCTTTGCCTTCCGATGTATAAGAGTCATATATATACATCAATTCATTGTCCTGAAAGGTTTCTTCCAAAGATTGACTTTCAGGGCATATTTCCAACAGTTATCGGGTATCGACCCGATTCATTATCGTGTCGACTCGAACACATGTTAATTTCGTGTCGTGTCGTGTCATGTCAGGTTATCGAGTCGTGTCAGGAATTGTTAGGCCTAGTGTGTGCAAGTCAAAGAAGATGGTGGCACCACCATTGATAGTAGTGGTCACAAATGGCGAGACGAGCTAGAGTTTAACAGGAACCCTAGGATTTATGATGAATGAGCTTCTCGATATCGGAGGTGACGAGGGTGTTCCAAAACCAATGAGATTCATGGGATTTCACTACTTTTTTTTAGATTCAACTGGAATCTCCAGGTTTGAAGTTGAATACGACATCGAACTGTCGTGCGTCACCAGAAATTGGTGAAAACGACGTCAAGGGTTTCAGGCAAACCCAAGGGTCGGTGACAAAGATGACGAAGAACGTCGTCGTTTCTAGGTTTTGGGTGCAGGAGCAGTCCGACTCCTTGGCCGCTTAGCTCACACAACTCATCGGCTTTTGGTCGTGGCTCAACATGTGGCTAGGGTTTAAAAAACCCTTCTTCTCTATATATATTTTTTTTTCCGATTTTTTCAAGGTTTTCAGAAACCAAAAAAAAAAAAAAAATTATGCTTCTATTTTATTTAGATTATTTGACTCACAAATTTCACATAGCGATTATAATTGCGTAATGCATGAATGTGTGTGTGTGTGTGCGTGTGTGTGTGTGTGTGTGTATTGACAATTATATAAACATATACAATATATATATATATATATATCGGAAGGAAAATATAAATGTAGGGGGTTCATGCATCATGAGAAATGTTTTCATGCTTCACGGTCGTTTCAAATATCTTAATTTATTTTAAAAGAACCTGATTGACGGAAAACAACTGAGCCTTTGAACTTGTAGAAGAACCTTCTCGAAATATCGGTATTGCATCTCCAATGAGTTGCATCACGTTCAACAAAGAAAAATTAAATTCAATCAATAACAAGTAGTTCAATTCAATAAAATAATAAATTAATCATAAAAAAATGATTCAAAGGTAATACTCCCCTTATTGAAGAATAAATTTTCTTTAGCACAACGTCAAGAACGTGCTGATAACATGTTGTGGGCCTAATTTACTGAACTATAATAAGGACAGAGAGAGGAGATAGATGTGTAATTGTGAGTGTATTATCTCATCCCATTGTGCCTTTATTTACAATAGTAGGGAAGGTTAATTGCTTACCTCAATAGGATTATAACTCGGATAGAATATTATGTAGTCTAAGAGATATGGTAAAATCTCATAAGAATATCCCAGATATAATAGGATTTACACAATCACATTCCTAATTTAATAGAACTGCAACAAGACTCTAATATTTAATATATTCAGAAATTTCACGAAAATTTCCTTTATTTTATTAAGTTTGCATGACAACACTTTACTTTCACAAGTAGACAACTGTCTTATGTTCTCAAGTTAAATAACGTAATTGTCTATTGAGATGTTTTCATTAATTTGTATGGAATTAGTTCCAGAACTATTTTGGTATCCTCCTTCATCTACAAAAACGTTGTTCATACTAAATACTAATTTTAACTGTTAACAACAGGTCGGGTACATAACTAAGTTCATGAGATAATCAATTTCAATAGTTTGGACACTAATCCTTTGCCTTCGGAATTAATTCCGATGGACTTTTTTTACCATGGTGTATTAAGGAATTTGTTTCAATACAACTTAACGCATTGGATGTGTTTGACCTCAAATTGGAAGTGCATTCGGAAGGTGTGGGTGTTTGACCTTGAACCACAAACGGGAAGTGAAAAACTGAAACGGGCCAACTTGGAAGTGTGTTCGCATTACTTGAACAAGGATGACAAATCTAGGTCCATACACCACCGTCCCAATTTCTTGTGCCAGTCATCCGACTTGTAAATTTTTTATTAGCACGACATTTTACCATTACATTATGGTACGACTCGTGCCATGATAATTACTCTAACAAAAAATTGGTTATTCAGAGTATCCTTGTACTTCATGACCAAGACTTTGGTTATTTTTTCTTGGATTTGCACAAAATGTAGTCTTCCAACTTATTCAAATATTTGTCCATTGGTAACTACCAGTCCTTTTGGCATTAGTAAGGTTGTCAACAAGTAGTGCGCATTAGGCAACTTTCGGAAAGAAAATGAGATCAAATTTATGACCATTGGTAATTACTTCTCCTTTTTGCACGAGTAAGATTGTCAACACATAGTGAGCATTAGTCTCTTTCAAAAAAATTAAATTAAATGGAATTAGTCACATCAAGGCTCTAATTGTACATGGAATTTGAAAGTTGTAATACTAAGTGGCATCATATATCACCTTCTTAATTGTCAATAATATAGTTGACATAGTCAAAATTGGCCCGTTAAAGGGGAAAAAGGATCCTCTTTGGATCTCTTCCTCCTAATCCACCAAGTCTAGGGATTCGGACCATTGAAATTGGGTCCAACGGTTAAAATTATTATAACTTTTAAAGTGGATCCTTGTTTGTAGCTATTGGATCAAATTTCAACGGTCCAGATCCCAGACTTGGTGGATTCGTAAGGGATCCTCAGATCCCTTTCCCGTTAAAAGCATAAAATGGAAAAATTATGTCCACGCATCAAACTAATTTTAGGGCATGTTTAATTACTGAACCCTAATAGTCTTTTTTACAAGCGTAAAACTATTGAATAGATCAGTGCTATTCTGTGTTTATGTGCAAGGACTTTGAAAGCCGTTATTAATCTTCGACTAGGTCTAGTGACGCAAGGGGTGAATTGGAATGTTCTAATGATGGGTGGGAAATTGAGAGGGTCCAGGTACTCGCACGCGATGAGTGTATGGTGGATTTGGGTTTTTAGTGGTAGGTGTGGTAACAATGATTGACATTAATCCGAACGCCAAAGAAGATTGTAGATATCCCAAAAGATACAGATTATTTGCCCATTGTTGTGATTGAATTATTACGCCGACCTCTGGCATGAAATTAATATAGAAGATTGTAGAGGGTTTGAAGTAATTTAATTGACTTTATAGTTGGCACGATTGAATTTTTGTCCTTCAATCAAAAGATTTCATATGCTTTAAATTTTAGGTGACAACAAATGTCCTTCAATCAAAATACTGTTGAAAAGTCTGATGGCAATGAATGCCCACACCGTATGTTAGCAAAAGTCTTCAGCATGGGCAGAAGTTTTCAATGCCCATGCAAAGTGAAAGTTGAATACATAGAGATTGTATAGTCAGACGAAGTGTCGTAAAATTTCAAAATGCATTAACTGCATCAGTTTGGAGTTGCTCTATAAATAGAGCACTCCGCATGTTTTTAAGTTACAAGAAAAGAAAAGAAGAAGTGAACGAGAGAAAAATATCAGTAACATCATCTATTTTCTCTGCTTCTATTTGTTATCTGCCTATGCTATAGTTTTAGTGTGGCATTTTACATCTACCTTGCACCTACCATTAAAAAGGTTATTCCTCTAACTTTGACCTTTTTATAACAAATACTAAAATGTACAAAGTTTCATACTTTTAAGCTACAGTGCACCGGGATCGAAAATCCCCAGTTCAATATATACAAGTCAATGGACGATCCAGAAAGGATGTATATACATGAATGGAGATAAGAAGGGACGAAAGGAATATTTACATAAGGATAATAACAGTCTCGGTGCTTCGAGTTTACTTCACATAGAAACAAACCTTGTTCGCAAAAGGTTACCGGATTAACAAATTCATGGACGGTACGAGTCATCTTTGAAGCAGTTTAGGAAAGCGGTATGCACTCACAAACGCAGATAATCAGCTCAGCATGGTTGGATGGCCAGTCTGCAGCATCCTCTTGATCATGTCCATCCCAAATGCAGAATCCGAGGAGCTAACAAAGGCAACACAAATATCAAATCAGCAATCTAATCTTCAGAGAAACTTCTTAAATAATCATAACAACGACAACAGCACCAGTAACAATAACAACTTCTTGTTAAGAAAAGAAGAGCAAGATGTTCGGTGCCGTCAGTCATATTCCTTAATTTGCAAAGAACAAGGACGTTGACATTCTTATTCCTTAATCCTATGTTTAAACAAACTCGGTCCACAATTGTCTTATCCTTTCTTTTACTTCACCAAATTATCTTGTCAATATGGCCAATGAATGCTCTGATCATGTGTTCATTTGGACTGTCCAAGGCCTTGACATACATGGTAATGAATCAACCGTCATTTTTTTGTCAACCTTTTTATGCAGACATACATACAACCCTGTGTTAAAAGTACATGCTAAGAAATGTACGTCTGCTCATGTGTGTAGTGTACAGACATGACAAAATACAACCTAAATAAACGTCCTGAAGTGAACACAACTAAAATTAGCAAACCAATCTGACTCTCTCACTGAGCATACTATCAACCAAACAGAACTCTTTTCCCAAGACCATGAACAAAAACTACAACTGGCATAGATAACATAGGAAAGTTTAGTTGAGGTAATGCAACTAAAAGAAAATAAAATTGTCAGTGTCAAAGTAGCATAAAATTCTATTTCCACGAACAGAAAAATCTCTTTTGGCACAAAGGCATTTTCTAGTAAACTTTTTGCATTGGAATAGATGGCATCAGATAACTACCAACCTCATTCTGACGTAACAAAATTCTACAAAGACAACTAGATAGTTTAAGATCTACAAGTATTCTTAGCGACAATGATTATAATTTTTTTTTATTCACTCAAAGAAAATGATGTAATATATGTACCAAGTTTGAAAAGATGAATGAATAAATGCAGAACCAACCTTGGGATAGTAATTTCATGAGGGAAAGAGACTACACCCTCAATATTTGGAACATGATCTTTCTTCTCATTCACAAATTTTATTATTTGGAACAAAACCTCACGAAGAGATGCTTCAAGTGCTGCTCTGCGAGCCATTCTCTCGTCCAATGCACTCTCTGCACTCATAGGTCAAGCAGATATAAAGGTCAGGGTCAGCACGGAAAGTGAAGCATCAGAGAATATACATTCAGTGCACAATAATTGTACCTCCTGGATCACCTACAACTTTAGAATTATGAGAATTGCCAGAATGTGCTTTGGGGTATTGGGCCACATTCAAATTTATATACCATTGTTCCCAGTATAACCTTTCTGTTTTGTGTGTAAACCAAGTTGCCTGTTTGTTTTTCAGTTCAAAGAAAGACAAGCAGATCTGCATGGCAAATCATGGCAGTTAATTAGGAAACTTTCTACAAAAGTATATATATTGAGAAGTCAAACAAGTGATTCAAAATCATGATTGAAGAGAATTATCTCTCCTAGCATTAATAAATTTTACTGGTAATTGTATGATTACTTAAAACCAATGGCAAGCACAAACCTGACTTTTCTTGTTTGGGTGTTTCTCTACCCAACTAATGAATTGCCCAATCTTCTCATCTATTTTCTTCTCAAGTTCAACATCTCCACATTGCACCTACACAAAAAGGAAGATTTATATATGTACACTCACATATCAGAGGATAAAGATCAGAAAGTGTGGCCTTCAGCTCCCTCCACCATCGAGGATGATTAGAATACTCAAGCATTACAATCATGAAGATTCATCTCAAAATAGTAATACGAAGGAAATGGAACCAGATGCAGAAAATACTAATCATTTCCTGCTGAACTGTCATTAAGATTGCAACAGAGTTCGCAGATGGCATTTCACATTTGGCAGTGCATCATGAAAAGCATGCAGGTAAATGTATAACTCAGTTGGATGTCAGTGCACTCTATTATTCGGCTAAAGGAAAAAGTGAAGAAATATCGATGCCTAAATTTATTTCTCACAAATAAGCTGGGACAAATATACTGAATGAGGAACAAATCATTCAAAAGTTAACAGCACTAATCTAATAAGCTGGTGTTGATTGACAAGAATCTGAAAAAAACAAACCAATGTTTAGAGCATAAAAAACACTTACATATGTAATTTCGAAAAGTTCCAAATCAATATCCTTGGGCCGCACAAGACCTAATGCCCGATGAAACACAATTGTGTGAAGTATGCCTGCATTCAAGTTTAAAGTACTGTAAGTTCACGTGAAAAACAAATAAGTGATACTGCTGTGAGTACAAGAATATTCATCCTATTTAATTATTGGTGAACCTGAGATGAATAATAAAATTGTTCAGAAACCAACACGAAAACTTAATAAACCTATACTGAGATGGCTTTAAAGACCCAAAAAAAGTGCCACTTGTTCTGTTGATCACGCTATGCTTCACTAGGCATTACGAACAGCCAGTAACAAAATTTTCACGCTTACAAGCTTAATTCTTTCAACATGTTTTCTTTTTTAACTTCTCGATGCCCACTTCTGATTGTAGTTTAGCAGAGAAAACAATAATGTATGTAAAAGAAAAGTTCCATGTTCTTTAGTGCCATTAAAAACACAGCTTTTTCTAGTATAGTTTATATTCAAAATCGCTACTGAATCACAAAACAATGGCTTTTGGCTAACAACCACTGCAAAATGCAAACCAGAAAACAAAAATACTAGGATGAACGAAAACACACACTCCCTTACTAAAGCAAAGCTTACTGTACATAAAGATACTAACTTTAACATTTGAAATTTAGTTGTCACACAAAATAGTTATACTAAAACACGTACCGTAGTTGAATTATTCAAACAAGCTCTACCTAGTACGAATCTTAATCAGCAGAGTTTTCCATTGGTAAAACTGATTTCGATAATATGGTAATAATTAAAAGGCATAAGCTAATACATACACACATAACATATATAAACTCATCGAAACAGTAGGAAAAATTTTAATTGCTAACATACAGCGCAGAACTTCCCGTATCTCAAAATGCTCGACTTCCTGAAACAGCAGTAAAATTCCAGTTTTCAATTTTCAAATACAAAATTTGAAAGAAAAAACAGAGAGAGAGAGAGAGAATCGTACCAATTCTTTGAGCTGGCAAACTTCACAGTTCATGGTGCGTTCGGCGATGGCAGTGAATTGGGATTCAGAGCGCTTACGAACCCTATCTTTCCACTTTCTGCTAGGAACTTGAGTTTCGCGGTAACGTTTTTGATTGGAGTGTGCGTTCGTGATAAGTTTAAGTAATCTAAGTCTTCGACTGCACTCCTAATTGGACTTTAACTTGGCGATGATGAAGAAGAAAGGAGGTGCATACTTTATCTTAAATTTGGGCCTTTTTGGTGGTTTTGGGCTTTGATAAATGGGGTATGATTCACGATGCAGCTTGTACTTTTTCCCTACAATTGGAAGTTGAACCCACAAATTTATTATTTGGCTCTTCGTACTCTTAATTTTTTTCATTTGAAATGACGTATTTTACATTAAACTAGTCTAAACTATATATAGAGATGGAGATTCGAATTCATGTTTACGTAGAGCACATACGCTCTAATTGATGTACTTACGCTCACACCTACAATTGCGACTGCAAAAACAAGCGTTACAAGAAAAATTGTGGGAGTTCCTCTTCAACCTAGATAATAATCTTGCACTCATATCATTTCAAATTATTCTACGAAAAATAATAATGACTAAACTATCTAGGAGTGTCAATAAACATAGGAAAAGAGGTGTCATGGCTGCCTAGTCTCATGTGAAAATGGGGTGGTTATAAGTATCATAATTTCATTGATAAAGTTCTTATAATTGTCATACTTGTTACAAACGTTCGATTATCATCTTCCTCCCTCCCCAAAACTTAGGCTTTCCTCTTGAGTTTTGGTAATGAACGAAGGCCTTGTAAACTAGTTCACTGGGTACTCTATGAGATGATTCTTTCAGTGGTTAAAACAAAATTAAAGACAAAATTCCTCTTACAACCAAAGCGCCCAGCTAGAAGTCAAACCAGTAAGAAATGACGCAAAAAGAGTGACTTAAATCTGCTAAGCATCCCCTTAAAAATTAGCTGTGAGGCAGCACAAAAACAATGATAACAAGAAATGCGTTTTGGGCCTCACTTTAAATTAGGCCTCATGTTTTCTTTATACCCTTGTTACACACACACACACACACACACACACACAAATTTCATCATTCATCTTATTCTTAAATATAAAAAAGGAAAGAAAAAAAAAATCTCCTATTCTCATGAATCTAATATGATGAACCTCAAATTCATATTGTTGTGAAAAAAATTATATCAGGTACTAAATTAGAAAAGCCTCACTTCATTTCGTCTTAGGCTTCATTTTACATTGGGACGTCTATTAGCTTCAAAAAGAACCCATTGAAAATTGATTGGCCGCATCCAAAAAAGTACTTTCTTTGATGTTTGTGTTCCTATACCTTGCTAAGTACCATAAATACATCTTTCTAATGCATGGCTAAACCGGGAAAATGAATCTTAGACAATCCCCTGAAGAGGGCAAACGCAGATAACATTGTCACTGTGGAGTCCAATTCTGATGTGCTCATTTTTTTAGTTAAGAATTTAGACAAGTGATAAAGTAGTCATAGGCAAATTGGGCAACATAAAATTAGACTTATACACGTTGAGAGACTAAATGTCACGTATTAACATCAATAGACAATATGTATTGAACAAGTCATTAGTATATTGTCATCGACAAACAAGAATTTTAAAACGTAATGTCACCATCAAATTATAGAGTTAGAAAAAAATCATAATAAAAAGACATAATTAGATGAAGAAAACCAACCATATTATATCCTTCGTATTTGTACCAATCTTGACTATTGTAACCCACAAAGTCTTTTCTAATCATCCAAATTTATGAGTCTAATTAGTTGAAAGTGATACAACCTCAGATATTGTTACCCACAAAGTCTTCCAATGATGGAATATATGATGGACATAAAAGCAAACATTATTTTAGTCTTGTGGCTACATTTTATAAGATGTAGCAATATGTGATGGAATATAAGATGTAGTAACATTGCAAGCAACTATTGCCACCTTATTAATCAGAGAATAGACCTTTGCAATGACTTGCTGCGTTTTATACTTATCTCAATTCATGCTTTTGATTTTCTATTATTCTATTTAATTTAATGTCTATAAAAATAAAAAAGAAGGTGGAAGAGATGAAAAACGTATGTATAAATCACTTTATTTCACTCGGCTTGTTTAATTATTTACCCACAAAGAACGTACCGGGCAGTTGAAGATATGCAATCCACGTAATGATACGGTGTTGGGCAGTTGGAGAGTACGCAAACGGCGTACTGTAGTAAGATGAACTTTAACGATAATACATTTTGCATATATAGAATTTATGAGCATAAACATATACATTGAGAAACTGAGCTGCATGATTAAGTTAATAATCTCAGTGGTGCTGCCGCGTGCCGGCGTGATTTGGACTGATGCGGCGTATCTAAAACCGATTAAATAATCTTGAGTCCTGACACACCTCGCAGTCCTAATTGCATATAGGGGAGACTAAATTGGAAGTGGATTTTCTGGCCTTCCTATTTTCATACTTTTTTTATGTTTTTTTGTGATGTGTGATCATAATTAAACCATGTTAATATTTTATATTAATTTTTTATAGAAATAAAACAAAAAGTAATAGAAATATAAAATGTTGAATTGGTTTAATCATAACTACACAAACAAAAGAGCATGAAAAGAACATGAAAATAAGAGAGCAGACAATCTACGTCCGACTAAATTAGCTAGTGACTGATGAGAATATGATAGTGATTATATTTTATTGTTTCTGCAAGGATAAAGGATGGACTTTTGTCAACAGTGCAACATTGAGCCTCTATGATTGTTCTTGGGGCCCCAATGTTTTAGTCCTCTAGGTTTAGGATTTAGGACTTAGGGGCCTCTATGATGGGGAGTCGGGTTTTTTTTTTTTTTTTTTGTTGTTGTGTTTGTAATTATAGAATTATGATTTTGTTTTGATGTGTAATTTTTTTAGTTGTTTTAAGAGGCATATTTAATTTGTCTGTTGTATATACGTTTTGACTAACTTATAATGAAATTTCTTTCACTCAAAAAGGTCATTACACTAAGTGTAATTTCCGTTTGCATTTGATCTAATATTCTGGTGAATATAGTGTCATAGTTTGATACATTTTTCTCCTCTAAATTAATGTAACCCATTGGAATCTTCTCCCTCCTTAATAATAATGAAAATATAATTTTTGTTATATTTCTATATATTTGAAGTGCAAAGTAACTTTTTTTAAATGTCAATAATAGCTTTCTTTAAGTAAGAGTTTAGGGTTAGAAGAATTGTTTATAATAGAAGCCAAAACACGTATAGCTTAAATAACCTAATTATCAATTCTTTTTTTTTTTTTAGGTCTGGACCTAATTATCAATTCAATTGGATTGTGATATCCACAACTAGAGGCTCAAGTTTCAAGGTTTGCTTGATTTTAATTATTCGTAATCCATATATATAATATTATCTCAGTTGGCAACAAGTTGCATGCTATGAATATATGATTGTGATATCCACAACTAGAGGGTTTGCTTGATTTTTATATATCTATGTATACAATAGCAACAAGTTGCATACTATGAACATATGATACTATGACGGCTTCATTTTCTCAAGCAAGAAATTTTCCACTGTTTTGGAATATTAATTGGAGCATAAATATATGTCTTCTAAGTGTGAGAGTTGTTGGAGCGTACCTATTCATATAGGTCCAGGGAACTTATTATTTACTTATTTAATGAAGGCTAATTCAAGTTAATCCCCCAACAGAACACTGCTTTAGGTGTTGTATTATTTGTGTGATGGGAAATCAGCGGTTCCATAAGGAAGGTCGCACATGTCCATCCGTCAGTGTTGGTAGAGAATAATTCAGGCCTTACAATACAGTCCATACCATATCACCACTTAGCTTGGTTTATCTACAAAGGCAATAGGCACTAGGCACTAAGCAATAGGCACTAGGCACTGATCCTTTACGAAGTATGAATATTGCGTCCTAATAATTCAGAGTCATGGTAAGATAGGGCTAAAATTTACAGTCCCAATAATGGTCGTTTACATCATTCAGGTTTGAGATGATATCAAAAAATGAGCTATTTGTTTTTTTAATGTCCAATCATCCATTAAATTGAGGATTTTTTTTGTTAATGTTATGCAAATATGACTTACATGTTAGCTTATATAAAATTCTCAAGCTCTCCACATCATCACTTAAATAAATTTTCATACAATCTATCAATTCAAATCGGGCGAAAACCCATCGCCCGAAACCTTAAATGATGAAACACACAAATTCTTCAGGCAATTTTAGGTAAATGACATATATCTTTGTTAAGCGAACGTGCATTGACCGAATTGGCACGACGAAATCCACTTACCCGGCGAATGACATCTCATTGGTTTGGACATAATTAAATAAAGTAATGAGCTTGACCTAATGGCCCAATTGTCGGACCAACTCTAAGAAACCAAATTTAGAATATATTAATTTTTAGGAACGAAAGGTATGTTGGGCTGACATATTTTAATTGAAAAATTTTAATTCTATTTTTTTTAAATATTAATAATAAATATTTAACAAAATGTTTACCATCAAAATAAATTTCGTACAATTATATTGTAAAAAAACTTAAATTACTGGGCTGGTTGGGGGAATGGTTGCAAAAGCTAGGCCAGAGGCTCGGGGAATCTTGATGCCTGAAGCTGAGAAGGACTAGACTACGACAACAAAGTACAGGCGTACTGATTCTTGATCTTTCGTAGTAGCATGTGCCAAGCACGTTGCTTCCTCTTGTATGCGCTCACCTACTTCCTTGTAGCCCGCTAGCTCTATCCCCGCCTACTGAAGTTTGGAATTAGTCTCAGTCAATAGATTAGAGCCCGCTAAAGAAGAAGACCCCCTGACTTCTCGAACCCGACATTCTCTTTGGTCGCGAACTTCCTTGCCTTTCCATCGCCCAACCTCGTCCATCAGCAACTGGAGAGACACCTCTTGATTAGTTGTCAGCTCCTCCATAGGCACGTCCCATTGTTGCTTAGAAAGGTTGGCGAGGTACTCCTTCTTTTGAATCATAGAAAGCTACAAAAAATAAAAAATAAAAAAACTAAGGGAAGTCGATTGAAATTATCGATCATATTTTAAACCTTATTTATTGTAATGAAATTTA